GTTTTGACTTTAAATGTTTTTTAATAATGTACATAAAATTGAAATTTGGATGCGCTGGACATAACATGCCCCTAGCTTTGCCCCTGGTAAAAATTGTGTTGTTGAAATTACAATGCATATCAGTCACATGCTTAATGTCATTAAAAGATGTAATAAAATTTATTTCAAGACATAGGGATCGAGTATACTACATGTTGTTTGTTAAGGATTGAAGGAAGCGTGACAATGTATGTATACTTATGCAGGATGGAGATACTATAGCACTGAAAGAAGAGCATCAACAACTCAAGGAAAAGGTGAGAAATATGCTTGTGGAAGCTCCTCACATTTCATCAAAAAAATTGGACTTGATTAACAACATCCAACGGTTAGGGGTGAATTATCACTTTAAGGAGGAGATCGAAGCAATTATGCAACACATATTTGAGGTGTACGATGACCTCAACGACAAGGACATAAAAGAGAATGATCTGTATGCAGTTTCTATTCGTTTTCGACTACTCAGACAAGAAGGGTATGGTGTATCTAGCAGTAAGTATAAACTAATTACGGAGTATTACTCTATTTGAAAGAACGCAATACAGTTCAGCTGGTCACCGCACTCTCCCTTATGACAGATCTCGGGTTTGAAACTCAATGGAGTGAGTTTCAAACCAGTTTACTCCAGACTCCCCAGACCCCCTCCCCCAGACACCCCCTCAAGTTAAAAAGAACAAAAACGCAATACACGATAAAATTAAATAAAAATATAATTGTGTGATTGATGATGTATATATTTATATAGAGAAATATTGTAAGTTATATTTTGTTGCTCTTGAAAAAAGAAATTGGGTGTGATTTCGGAATGGGTGAAAAGCTAAGGATAAATATATGTAAATAATTTGGAGATAGCGTGTGTGTTCTTGATATTTATGGACTTATCAAGATTATATAGTTGTTAGTCTTTATGTTGTTTGAAAATTTTCGTATTGATGTATTTCAAAGTGTGCATAAATAACAAGATTTGTAAATTGACGTTTCATAATTTATACTCCGTAGTTATATACAAAACGGTTATGACTTAGCAACATTTCCTTCTAAACCAAGATAATTAAGGTTTCGATAATTAATACTACATATAAAGTTAATTATTTTTGTGGTGATATTGAGTATTTAAAACAGTCCTTCAACTTTTGTTGAATTTTACACTATTCATATGTTCTACTTTGACTGCGTTTTATTTATTGACGTATAAATAAATTAGATTTATAAAAATATTATTAAATTTGTCACTTTGTAAATTTTCAAAATCTAGATTTTTTATTTTTTTAATAATAGATAATTAAATACATTAATGGTCAAAGTTGTGCATTTGCAAACGTGAAAAGTTGACTGTTGCGCACTTTTTTAAGAACGAAAGTACCGAGTAGTATCTTACAAGAATTATGGGATGTTGATCGGGAGTAATAGTATTTATTACAAGTACGTAGATGCAATTCAAAAATATTAATACCAATAATAAAAGAAAGAAATAATTACTTACTCCGTATTAATGACTAAAATAAAAATTATTTATAAAAATGTGACTCAAGACTATAGTATACTTCGTATGTAGTAACTTATTCATTATAACTTATGTTCAATTTTTAAACATCATGACACCATAGCATAATAACTATTAGTCATATTTGTGTAAATAAATTTTACTTTGGTAATAGTTTTGAAAAAACTCATAATGAACACATCTCTTAGTACAAATATTGGTATAAAAGTAATGCATTTTTAAGAATCAGTGTGAATTTGACACAACCTCCAAAGTATTTAATTGTACCTTATAGGTCAAAGTCCTCTATCTATATGAGGTATAGACAACACACTATATTAATTCGATGAGAGAATTCCATAAATAGGAGTAAAAACGTTTTGAAATTTCAAAATAGGACTATCATGTTTTTTATTCCTTGAATAGAAGTAAATTTCTGCCAAGTTTGTCATTACTAGGCTTTAAACATGACATTTTTTTTTCAAACTTGGCAGATTACTCCTATTCAAGGAATAAAAAACATGATAATCCTATTTTGGAATTTCAAAACATTTTTATTCCTATTTAAGGCAATTTCTGTAATTCGATCTCTCAAAGAAATGTATACCTAATGAATAGATTAAATGGGAAAGGGTTAAACACTTTAAAATTCTAAAATAGGACTACCATGTTTTTATTCCCGAAATAGGAGTATTTACTACCATGTTTTGGCAACACAAAACATGCGGTATTTTTCAAAATTGACAGTAATTACTCATATTTAGGAAATAAAACATGAAAGTCCTACACATTCAATTTTTTTCTAAATAATTTTCCATTAATTTTTCACAGGTTGCTTTGCAAAATTCTTGGAAAGTGATGGCAAGTTGAAGGAATCGTTGCTAAAAAATGTTGATGCAATTCTAAGTTTATATGAGGCGTCACATCTTAGGGTGCACGGTGAGAAAATATTGGATGAAATGCTAATATTTACAACTTCTCACCTACGCACAACCATGCAGCAGCTTCGTCCAAACACGACCACCCCAACCAGCAGATCACTACTGCTTAGTGAAGCACTAAAACAGCCAATTTGTAAAAGGTTGGCAAGGATAGATGCAAGAATATTCCTATCCATTTACCAACTTGATGAATCTCATGATACTACCTTGTTGAAGTTTGCAAAGTTGGACTTCAACCTCTTACAAAAACAGCATCAAAAGGAGCTAGGCAGTCTTACAAGGTAACGAATTAATTAATTTTGATTAGTTGGCCATATATATAAAATAAAATGTATTCTTAACTCGTGTAATTTGAGCTAACTAATTTTGAGCCATGTAAAAATTAAAATGTACTACGTATATCGAATAAAAAACGTTTGCCAATATTATACAATGATGTTCTGCCTTTGAACAGATTTTATATGGTTTTTGTTTTGATAAATTCTCAAAAAGACGCCAGCTAATGAAATTAGCTAAATACTCATATTTATTATCACTCTTCCTTAGGTTTGACATCCCAATAAGGGCTACTTGCATTAGTTAATTATCCCGATCGACAACCTTATTACATACTAGTAATTTCAAAAGTTGTGAATGTGACCCCTATTACAATGAGTCGATGATGACAATTTAATTAGTCCATAGTGATCAACACACTTCAATGTCAACGTGGACCATTGGATCGGACCAAGGTCACAATTATTATATTTCAAACTTAATTGTCTTAATTGTGGGCAACATTTTAATTATTTCTCTTGGATATTCAGAATCTATCTAAGCTAGAATAAAAGAAAACATGTTCTTGATGAGGTGTATATTACGGTATAATCACAAAATTTCAGCTTAAAATTCATTCAGTCAATTAAATTTAAGCTTAATTGACACAATGTTTTTAATAGAAATGCAATCTTATAGATACTTGTATTCATGCATGCACGGTCTTAAAAAAAGTTTGTAATATACTTTGAGCGAAACTTTGGAATATGTAGGTGGTGGAAAAATGTAGGTGTAGCGGAAAAATTGCCATTCGCTAGAGATAGGTTGGTGGAGTGCTACTTGTGGTCGTTAGGAGTGTACTTTGAGCCACAATATGGTTTAGCAAGAGAGTTTGTTACTAAAATGATATCTCTAGCTTCTGTCGTTGATGATGTCTATGATGTGCATGGAACCCCCGAAGAACTCCAGCTATTCACACATGCCTTCCAAAGGTTCGTGCAACAATTACTACTTATTGATAAATTTCACTTTCTATTATATACTACATCTTTCGTTCTCTTTTAAATGCAACATTAGAATTTTTGCACTTCTACTTTGACTCTATTTTATGTATTAATGTATTATATTATGAATTAAATTTAAAAAAAAATATTATCAAATTCTTCTCATTTTAAATTTTCAAAATCTATTTTTTTTAACTTTTTACTAATAAGGAATGAAAAATATTAATGGTCAAACTTGTGTGTTGGCAAACGCAAAAAGTGGTCCATTGCAATTAAAAAAGAACGAAGAAAGTATGTAGGTTATGTACTTATGTAACTAAATTAATCTAATTATATTACTCTTCTCTATTCATACATAGAAACCCTACTAGTTAACTTTTTATTTTTATTTTTTGGGTAAAGTTAACTTTTTATTATGAATGAAGGCTGGACACGAGTGCTATGAGAGAACTGCCAGCATATATGAAGGTTGTTTATAATGCATTTCTTGATGTCTTTGGTGAAATGGAGATAGAATTGGCTGCCAGAGGAGAATCCTACCGCATTCACTATGCCAAAGCTGAGGTACTACGTCGTCCTACATTTTTTGTAGTTTTAGTCTCACAACTTATGTATGTTCATTTTTAGTTCTTTAAGTTTACTTAATTGTAGCTAATACCTCGACTAATAACTTTATCTATATTAACGATTTTCCAACCGGAATGTACTTATTCTAGTTGAAAATATCACGATCGTGTTGGATTTTACGGTCCTCTTTTTCTCCAAAAGTTATACATTTTGGAGGAAAAAAGTTTTTAATGGATCAAGTTATTATCTATGATACATGATATTGAAGTAATTAAAAAGTTATAACGGGCACAAATTAAATAAAAATTACGGGACTAAAATTCGCAAAATTCCCTACTACTTCCTCCGTTCTTTTTTAGTTGCAATGGTCAACATTTCACACTTGCCAACGCACATCTTTGACCGTAATTATATCTTAATCCCTATTAGTAAAAAATATTTAAAAATTAGATTTTGAAAATTTGTAATGAGATGAATTGAACAATATAATTTAAAAATAATAATTTTCATAAAATAATAATATAAAATGTAGTCAAAGTAGAACATGTGAATAGTGTAAAATTCAACATGTTGCGATTAAAAAGAGACGGAGGATAGTATATACGTACCATTCAAATTAAACCTTAGAAACACATGTTACTAGATATATATATGAATGTGTGGGTATTTATGCATTGCATAGTGTTCTAATATGAATGTAAATTATTAGATGAAAAAACTAGTGGAAGCATATTATAAAGAAGGGACATGGTTCCATGGTGGATCAACTCCAACGTTTGATGAGTACATGAAGGTGGCACTTAAGTCATCCGGCTATTTTATGGCGGCAACAGCTTCTTTGGTAGGCATGCCAGAAGATTTTGTAGCTAGTAATGCCTTTGATTGGTTGGAAACTCATGACCCCTTAATTGTTCAAGCTTCTGCAATCATTGCAAGATTAAAGGATGACATAGCTGGACATAAGGTAATTAGTATAAATTAATTACTCCACTTGTCTAAAAATTAAATATTACCACACTTTCTCAACACTGTTAAAGTCACAAACCGGAAAATTGTAAAAAGTGTTATATAAAATCTGAATTACTCCTTCAATCATGGATGACTTTTTAAGATGAAACTTCACGTCTTAACAAAAACATCAATACCATTTTACTTTGTCACATTAACCCTTTTATCATTCGCTTATTTACTTTTTGTAGACAACCTTAGTATGTAGATCTGCAATCTAAGTATGTTTTCGATCTATATTGAGATGCTTGAAATTTAAAACAAAGGGCATGCATGCAATTGAAAGAGTAATTAGCTAGGCTTAAAGACTTAAAGTTAATACACGTAGGTAGGGCTCTTACAAAACTTCTTTTTTGTTTAATTAACTAAAACCTAATTAATTAAGTTGTGATTTACATCTATATATGTGTGTGTATTTATGTATGTATGCATGCATGCATGCATGTATAGTTTGAGCAGGAAAGAGGGCACATGGATTCGGCTGTAGAATGCTACATGAAACAATATGGGAAGTTAGAAGAAGAGGCGGTGAAAGAGCTTGAAGAAGTAGTAGCCAATGCATGGAAAGATATCAATCAAGAATGCCTTAAACCAACTGCTATTTATCCATTGCCTATACTCATTCGAGTTGTCAATCTCGCAAGGGTTATTGAATTGCTCTACAAAAAAGATGGTGATTCATATACACATTCCTCAAACCTTAAGCCCATGATAACCTCCATCTTGGTTGATCCGGTCTTGTGAAATTCCCGCTCGGAGAAGTTAATAATAATGCATCAATAATAATGATATTATTCTTGTATGTATTTTCGAATATTGTTGCTTTAACATTTTGTTTTTATTATGTTTTATTATCATATTGTGTCTTGTTATGCTTTGTGATATTTTCGTAGTCGTTTTTCATCTTATCTAAACCAACCACATGGTTGTATATCTATGTATGCATGCCTATTCGATAACCTGAAACCCATTATGACTGGGAGAGGGGACATATATATATATATAAACATATCTTTATGTACTCTTACATATTGCCTTATTGGCCTGTGTTTGATAATGGCTCCTTCAAAATCTCGGGAAGTTATTGAGTTCTCGAAATCATTTTCATATACTCCTATTTTTTTATTTTTCGCTTCACATGGAAAATGTAGTCAAGGAAAATATATACCCAATGTAGTGACCCAAGCAAATGGTGTAATTAATATATAGAATTTGAGATTATGGCTAATCACAAAAGAAAATAGTGTAATATATAGAGTGGCACCCCGCTTATAACCAATTGGGAAAACTGTCAAATAGATCCTCGAACTTTCATAAAAAAGTCAATTAAGTCCTTCTACAGGAGACTCTGTCTAGTCGTCGCGATTTGGGGCGCTTCTCGGTGGAATTTTTTGATGAAATTTTTTGAGCATCTTATTCACCTAGTCTAGTTTACTCATACCAAATTTCAGCTAAAAATTTAATCGGGAGCGCATTCAAATTAATTCGAGAACGCAAAAATGCGCAGTTATCTTCAAGAATTAATTTGAATGTGTTCCCGATTGAATTTTTAGCTGAAATTTGGTATGAGTAAACTAGACTTGGTGAATAAGATGCTAAAAAAATTTCATCAAAAAACCCCATCGGGAACTGCCCCAAATCGCGATGGCCGGGCAGAACCTCCTATAGAAGGACTTAATTGACCTTTTTATGAAAGTTTGAGGACCTATTTGACAGTTTTCCCTAACCAATTAAGAAGTAAGAACAATATTAGTTCTTAGGCGTGTGTAGGTTTAGACTTGAATGTGGAAAGAGATACTAGAAAGAAGCATTATTGTGTTGAAGAAGATAAATGCACTTGACGAACACTTTGTCGTAGTGTGCCTCAAATTAATAATCAATACAACACTTATACGTAGTATATAGCGTAGTAGAGTTCGTATCTACAGGGAAAGGAATAACTCTCTTTTTATGAACTAGTAAATAAATGGGGGTTTTGATTGAGTGATTTAATTAAAATTAAACACGAAGATGAACGAGTTATATGTGATTTAATTCAAAGATAAAAAGGGACTTGGCATTGCTACTTTTCACTTGTTGATATATTTCAGTCGATCATTGTTATATCTATAACTTATCTCCTCTCGAATACTCAATCGAGAAGTATATCCAATTCATCGAGGGTAGTTATTAACAATGACCGTTCATTAATAACCCTTACTATTAGTCAAGTATAGAACAACGCCATATACCGACTTGATAGAAGCATTTAAACTCTTAACACCTTGATGAAATCAATTGAGATTGATAACCTCAACACAATGGTTTCGGTTTAACCAACAAAATTAATCCCTCTTAAGTCTATTAACCACGACCGTGCATTAATAAACCGAAGTTACTTACTTGTGAAACCATTAGCGATTAACCATCGGTTCGTTGATCATTTCTAGTAATAATTAATATATGAAACAAAACTAGTTGATCCTTTAAGTAATGTTCAAAATATTAATATGAAATATGAATAGGAGTTAATTAATACTCAAGGAAGAATATTAAAGAAGATGAATCCTACTATAGTTAATATCAAGATGTTAACTAATTGTCATCTTAGTAACACTCCCCAATATTAACATAGAGGAAGAAATAACTATAACTATAACTAATGTCAAGATGTTAACTAATTGTCATCTTAGTAACACTCCCCAACATTGATATAGAAATAGTATTTAAAGGAAGAATTAATATTCAAGGAAAGAAGTTAAGAAAATAACTCACAACTTTAATAATCAACAAGCTTCAAGAGCAACGCCAAGAAATGGAAGTTTAGCTCCTCATTTGGAGACTAAACATGCTAGAAGAAATATAAAGAAATGCTTCTAAACTGAGCTTAAGAGTATAAAGGAATTGATGATTATTTGTGAAGGAAAAGTGTGCTATTTATAGGTGTTTTTCAGCACCTTGGGCCGGGTACCCAACCGGGTCAAGTGCCCACCCGACCGGGTGTATGTCAAAATCAAATAATCCACCATGTTCTCATGCTTCTGCACGTCGTTTGGTCCCGGGTCATGTCTGACCCGACCGGGTGGGGTAAGAGACCCGACCGGGTGAGTGCACTTTCCAGGCACTTTCGGTTGTTGAATCAGACCCGACCGGGTGACGTCTTATGCCCGGTCGGGTATTTGCTCCTGGACAGTCAAAATTTCTTTTTCTTCACTTCAAAGTCCTCCTTTTCAACACCATAATTCCTAATTCTACTTTACAACTTACAAATGAGAACTAAAATACAATTACAACTAAAATCACACAAATGTTTACAAACTAAATAAAACGATAAACAATACACATAAATCAAACATAAAAACATACACTTATGCACTACTAATTAGTGCATATCAAACACCCCCACACTTGAACCTTTACTTGTCTCGAGTAAATCAAACCTAGTTCAAGAAGTCCCTAAAGTAGCAAGAGTATCCACACAAACATCCAAGAGTGTTTTTAAGACAACACAAAAAATATCCCCCCAAAAAATATAAAAGTAAAGAGGGGTCTTCAACCTCAATTTTTTTATCATTACCCTTAGGATTCTGCAGAAATAAAAGAAAATATTTTCTCTCATTCTCTCATTTTGCCTAGGTGCCCTTTCGGGTTTTCATCCCAGCTTCCCACATTTGTCTGTTTTAATCCTCACAACTCACTCTTATTTTTTTGCTTTATTTTTGCATAAGTTGCCTTTTCAGGTTTTCAACTTAACAACCTTTTTTTTTGTTTTGCTTTTTTTTTTTTTAAAAAATAACTCAAGAATACAGAGTATGAATGTGAGTTTTCCATGAAATTCTTCCCCCAAGCTAATCAAAGCACTGTCCCTAGTGCTTGTGTCCGAGATGTCCAAGAGAGTGAATCTCTTTGCCCTTTTTGGTATCATTTCTTTCTTTTTGGTTGAGGAAATTTCAACTTTTGTTGTTTGTGGAGTAAGGTGATTTAGATTTTTGGTTATTTGGGAGGTTTTTGTGGTTGAAGAGGGTGATGAGGAGATGAAGAAAAAGGGTTTATTTGGTTGATTTGGTGGAGAAAATGGTGGGATTTTGAAGGGATGGTGAGGTTTCGAAGGTTTTATGTTCGAAACTGGTGGAAATGGGGGAGGTTTGTTCGTATATCGTAGGAGGGGAAATGAGGAGGAAGAAATAATGGGGAAGGAGGGGTTGCCTGCCGCCTTTTGTGTTCAAAACCCGACAGCCCGGTCGGGTGTTGGAGGTTACCCGGTCGGGCCTAACTCCCCGCCATCTAGAATGTTTTTAAACAAAGTGCCCGGCCGGGTATATGTCGTTGGCCCGATCAATTTTTTTCGTTCCAGGGGCCGGGCTTTCAAGAAAAAATTTTCGCCCAGTCGGTTTGTTAGTTCCAGGCCCTTTTATCAGTGTTACCCGGCCGGGTGAAGAAACAGTACCCGGTCGGGTGGATTGAAATATTCGTTTTCTTGGGGTGCCTTGGCCGGGTGTCTTTCCGAGGTCCCCTTTTTTTTAAGGTTTTCTCACACACAGAAATAAATGAAAATAATGAAAATACAAACTTGGGTTGCCTCCCATGAAGCGCCTTATTTAATAACGCGACACGACGTTATTTTTATTTACTTTTTTGTTTTATGTGGGATCGTGAACATCCCTTGTTTCATTCTTCTTCTTTGGCCTTTTCCAGTAAAGTCGAGATTCCTTCTTTGTTATCACCTCTACCCTATGCTGAAATTTTTCTTCCTCTTCAAAAAGTGGGATTTTCTCAGCTTCTTTTTCAACAAAAATAGGTGATGTTTGTGGTTCAAAACGTTTAGAGAATAAAGAGTTTGGTCTTTAATTTTTTTTCGTAGAATCAAAAATGTTGAATTCTACTTTTTGATCATCAAACTCTAAAGTTAATGAACCATTTGACACGTCTATTTTTGTTTGAGCCGTTTTTAAGAAAGGTCTTCCCAAAAGGATGGGTGTAGCCTAGTTATCAGCTTCCATTTCAAAAATATAGAAATCAACAGGGAAGGCCAAAATTTCAACTTTTACTAGCACGTCCTCTACGACGCCCTTTGGGTATATGCTGGACCTATCCGCCAATTGGATTATTATCCCGATTTCATGCATTGGGCCAAGTTTTAGGGACTCGTATAATGAAAATGGGATGACATTTATTGAAGCGCCTAAATCCAACAAGGCCCTAGGAAATAAAGTGTCCCCTATTTTGCATGGAATAGTGAACATGCCTGGATCGTTGCATTTTTCTGGGAGTTTCCTCTGAAAAATTGCTGAGACACGTTCACTAACCTTGACCTCTTGTTTCCCTTTCAATTTATTCTTTCTTTTCATTGTGCATAGTTCTTTTAAAAACTTTGCATAACGGGGAACACTTTTGATTAGTTTGAAGAGTGGGATATTTACCTCACAATTGGCGAAGGTCTCGTAGAGGTCCCGATCATTCTCCAGCTTTCTTGTGTCCTTCAGTGCCCCAGGGAATGGAGGAAGTGGTTCATATGATGAAAGTGGAGGGAATTTAGTTTTCGTTGGTTCCTCCTCCTTGTGGTCAACCTCATCTTTGTCAACATTTTCTTCGTCAACTTTCCTTGCTTGCAATTCTGGGCTACTCCTTAGCATGATGGCATTGACTTGTTATCTTGGGTTTTGCTCAGTTTGGGAAGGG